AGTCGGACACTTAACCGACTGCGCCACCCAGGCGCCCCTAACATGCATCCTTTTATAAGGTATTAGTCTCAATTTGAAGTTAGTATGATCTGCCTGGTGGTTTTGCTCCAGTTCTGTCCCTGTTTCTCCCAAAGTAGCCCAGTAATCATAATAATCGATGCTTTTCCTATTGTTGATGGAGTTGAATAGCAAGAAATAGTGGTATTTTTCAAAATTTACACCATGCTCTAACTCACACAAATCAGGTAATTCCAGGAAATTATTTTTTCTAATCCTTATGAATACACATAAGGTAGAAGGCTCCTCAATAAAAATCAATGAAAATGCCTCTGGTACACAAATATTACCAAAATATTAAAATACTGTAGCATAACAGAGTTAGACTGCAACAGGTATAGAAAATGAACACCTTATTTTCTTTACATTAAAAACTGTGTTCAATTTTCATTTGTCTCATATTCAATAATTTAAACTTCAAATCATTTTTAAAATGGATTTTCATTCATATTCTGTGAATAAAATCAGAATCTTCCATCACATTTTTTTCTTTTGAATACACAGAAGTAATAAACGGACATGGTTAGTTAAAAGAAAAGTTTAACAATGATATTGAAAACTGGCTTACCTTAGATTTTTCATTCTTTATTCTGTGAGCCTCATCAATGACTAGGTATCGCCAATGAAACTTTTTAAATACAGATTTTTCTTTAATTACCATCTCATAAGAAGTAACACAAACATCCCATTCTCCTGGCATCATTTCATCACGAATAAAAGCAGCCTAATGCAAAATAAAGTTCTTTATATTAAAATACACTGACATGATGATCACAGAATTAAAGCATCAAGAAAATACTAATAATTCTAAGAGCCCTCAGAATCATTTGGTCTCATCCATCTTAAAGATAGGAAAACCATTTGGTGTCATCCATTTTAAAGACAGGAAAACCAAATCCCAAAGACACATTATCTGGGTGGCATACTAATATCAACAAAAGAGAAGCAAAGGCTTCCCTTAACCGAGAACAACATATTCAATGAACTGGAAAAGTTCTTATCACCAGATGACAGATATTAGGCTCTCTTCATACAACAAATGGTCCAAAAAGACAGGAGCAAAGTAAACTGCTTTCTGAAAAGCATGTTCTTACTAAGGTCAAAGCACTACCAACTATTACCAACACAGTTTCAACAAATGAAAAGAACTCAATATACATGAATGATTTCCACCTTTTGATCTCTTTTATGTTCCTTCCATTTCTAACAGGAATGAGTCATATATTTTGTTAAGGGGTCACGAAAGCCCATTAATGCTTTTGTGAATTCCCTGATATTGTTGTAAGACTACAAATATGATCTTACAAAGAGGACTTGCTCTATCTAGTACAGAGGGCTATTTAAGACAGTGAGACTATTTAAAACTATTTTTAAATCTTCTAAATCTTCATAGGCAGTGGCCAACATAGTAGCCAAGTTGACTGAGAGCATTTTTAACTTGTATGAACTGAATTTCAGATGTTATGTATGGGTCAAAATAAAACCATAGAAGTTAACAGGGAGCAGCCAAATCTATATTGAGAAGGTTCTGATTAGTACTGTAAATATGAAATTACAGTGCATAAACAAAATTAACTGTTCACTGCAAACTCATTATTTCATAAACTCACAGTTATGCACCAAACACACTGTGGACTCATTCAACAAATATTTACCGAGTGCCCTGATATCTAAAAGGATTGTCTGGACTGAAGTAGAGGACAGAAAAAAGGCCTTTGTAGAGATCCTAGTTGCACTCTGGGAAGTGGTCATATTTAAAAAGTTAATTAAGACATTACAGAATTGGAGGCAAAATAAAGAGAACCAGGATGCCAGACTCCATTTGGTCTTGCAAACACCTTATCTTTGTTTGATTTTTTTGAAACACTCAATTTTGAAACTCCTACAGTTTCACGGAACACACATATATTTTTAATTTATATTAGCTCTGCCTTGAAATTTGTGTAACAGAACACTGAACATCACATAATCCAAAAGCTCTTTTATAGGTGACAAAATGAAGGCCCTTCAATTGTCACTCAATGTCACACACGGTCAATAGCAAAGCCAGAACTAAAACCAGATCTCCTGTTTCCAGGTCCAAGATCTTTGATGTCTCTGGAGTGGAAAAGGAAGGAAAAACCATGTTTGGTGGGGCGCCTGGCTGGCTCTGTTGGTAGAATATGCAACTCTTGATCTCAGGCTCATGAGTTCAAGCCCCACATTGGGCGTGAAACCTACTTAAAAAATAGAAAACAACTAAAAAACCATTTTTGGGATTCACACCTCTATATACTGCAGGCCTACATTAGCGTCAACTGGGTCAGGAGTATTACTAAGAATTTCCCAACTCAATCAAATACCTGTGGTAACCTACATCAAATTTTTTATTAGTAAAACACTGACCTCATAAAATGTTTACAGAAGGCCAGGAAATTATAAAAACACATTGTATCTATCCCATGTGGTACCAAGATTCAAATTTGTCTATAAATAATTATCTGGGTGGTGCCTAGGTGGCTCAGTCAGTTGAGCATCTGACTTCGACTCAGGTCATGATCTCACGGTTCGTGGGTTCGAGCCCTGCATCAGGCTCTGTGCTGACAGCTCAGAGCCTGGAGCCTGCTCTGGATTCTGTGTCTCCCTCTCTCTCTGCCCTTCCCCAACTTGTGCTCTGTCTCTCTCTGACTCAAAAATAGATGTTAAAAAAAATTTTTTAATAATTATCTGGATTTTCTCTATACACTCTAACACCAATCTGTAAGTGCTGAATATAGTACATTATTTATGTAATTAATAATTACCATTCCACAAACTCTTTGCCCATGGCCCACAATAAAATAATATTTTAGGTTGCAATCCTTTTTTAAAAATGTTTTTAAGTTTATTTATTTATTTTGAGAGAGAGAGCAAGTGGGGTAGGGATAGAGAGGGGGGAGAGAGAGAATCCCAAGTAGGCCCCTCGGCGTCAGTGCAGAGCCTGATGCAGGGCTCGAACTCACAAACTGGGAGATCATGCATGACCTGAGCCAAAATCAAGAATCAGATGAGTAACCGAGTGAGCTACCCAGGCACCCAGGTTGCAATCCTTAAAAAATGAGCAATACATATCCCTACCATGTGTGAAACACTCTATTTTCTATTCTATTCTCATTTTTTTTTATTGTTGTCCACACCAACACGAATTTGCAATATTAATGACTGGCAATATGAAAAGCACTGACTTTGAAGACTGGTTTTCAAGATTAAAAAATTTTTGAAGCCACTAGTAAAATCTCAGCCACTCATGGGGTAGAGATAGGGCAGTCACAAATTAAATACAAGCATTCTTCCTTTAAAACTCCCAGAGAGAAAAAAAAAAACTCCCTGAAATATTTCATGAAATCCTTGGATTCTATATAATATAGGGGAAAACCACTGACACAGTTTTATTGAGACATATGAAAACACAAGTGCACATATTTCTTTTTCTTTATGATCTTAGAGAAATACTTTCAAACAAAAATCAATACTTCAGAAATACAAAGTTTTTTAAGGAATGATATTACATTAAGTAACAGCAGTGATCAGAAAACGGTTCTAAGTGACTAATTTGCCACTGGGAAATATTAAGCATAAGGAAGAATCAAGCTTGTAATTCTAAATTTATGACCTCAGTATTTCAATACTTAAATTATTTATAAGCTGAATTTAAATAAATTTAAGTAATTTTTCTGCAAGCAAAATGGTAAGAATAAAATTACATAATTCATTATGCTACCATTCTTTTGAGGATATCTTTTGATAACCTATCTAAATACGAAAAATAGAATAAATCTTTTCTCTAAACTATGTCCTCTGGAGGCGAAATAAAGGCAAAGTTTAATAATATGCTTTCTAAGCTGATTATTCATTTTTATATTTTTGCATAATTTATTTCTTTTAGATTAATTCTACAGTCCTAAAATCATTGTAGCCTACTAAATTGACAAATGGCTAATTTAAGCAAGAGCCCAGCATTTCCAATACCTAAGAATGTATGCAGGTATGTATTTTTCTATTCAAAGAGCAAAACTGAAAGCTGTGCCTTTGCAGAAATACAAAACACAGGCTCTCTGTATGAATAGAAAAGGCCCCATTCATGTGTGCATCTATGCACAAGTGTGTGCATGTATACCAAATCAAAGTTAAAAAATTAAAAATTTAAACATAAAAAATTAAGTCATACAAACGTATATATTTTTGGTGTCAAAATAATACAACTGATGAGTCACTGATAAGATATACTGTCAATGATGATTTCTTTTAATAAAAAGTGATTTAAAATGCAACTCAAAAAAGCTGACGTTAATGTGCCAGTTAAAAGTAAATGCAGGGGCGCCTGGGTGGCTCAGTCGGTTGAGCGTCCGACTTCGGCTCAGGTCACGATCTCGCGGTCCGTGAGTTCGAGCCCCGCGTCGGGCTCTGGGCTGATGGCTCAGAGCCTGGAGCCTGCTTCCGATTCTGTGTCTCCCTCTCTCTCTGACCCTCCCCCGTTCATGCTCTGTCTCTCTCTGTCTCAAAAATAAAAATTAACTTAAAAAGAAAATTTAGAAAAAAAAGTAAATGCAGATAAGCATAATAAAAGTGATTGCATGTTATTAATAGGTAACACATCTACTTCACAGGAGTGTTGGATTAATTAATATATTAAAGGCATTTACAACAGAGCCTAACATAGAGTAAGCACAATGTGTTATTTACTAGTAGTAGTCAACTTAAATGTCTTTTATGGTATTTGTATAAAACTTAACCCCAGAAATGATGTTATTCTTGATTGCCTCTTTAAATCAGTTTCTCACTTACTCTTGCATCCTTGTCTCCGACGAAACAAATAACACGGAGAGATGGCACCCATCGTTTAAATTCATTCATCCAGTTGTATAGAGTAGACTTTGGAACTAAAACCATGTGAGGTCCTGGAATGTTTCGGTAATGTTTCAGGTAACCAAGCAAAGCAATCGTTTGTAAAGTCTTACCAAGACCCTGCATTATCGTTACAAAGAAAAAAATCCATAAATGTTTATTTAATGAAACATTTTGTTAGTAATAACAAAGACATTTGCCAACTATCTCACATGGGGAAAAATTTTAAAGACCTTTGTTTTTTTTAAGTGAATAACCATACCAATTCGTACTCACTGTGTGCACAAAAAGAAACCAGGAACTTGCAGGCAGAAAGTTGCTTTGTTGCTCCTCTTTTTTTTTTTTTTTTTTTTCAACGTTTATTTATTTTTGGGACAGAGAGAGACAGAGCATGAACGGGGGAGGGGCAGAGAGAGAGGGAGACACAGAATCGGAAACAGGCTCCAGGCTCTGAGCCATCAGCCCAGAGCCTGACGCGGGGCTCGAACTCCCGGACCGCGAGATCGTGACCTGGCTGAAGTCGGACGCTTAACCGACTGCGCCACCCAGGCGCCCCTTGTTGCTCCTCTTAAAGGAGCAAGTAGCATACTTCATAATTTTTTCTAGTGGCAAAATTAGGGAATTTTGTGTATATGTGTTTCACACTCAAATACCAGCCTGCTTCGATACCAGTCTTTCTTTCCCATTGTCCCCAACATTATTACAGCCCAGGCATGAAATATTCAGACTATGCATCTCAAGGGGCTTGTAGCTCTGTACTTGCATCTCACACCTTTGAAGACCTATGGAACCATAAAAGAACAAAACATGAAAGAACTCTGCAGCCAGAAAAGGCCTTAGAGATCACCTAGTCCAGTAGACGTTTTAAAAAACAACATACTGAACAGGGGGGCCTGGGTGGTTCAGTTAGCTGAGCATCCAGCTCTTGATATCAGCTTAGGTAGTGATCTCATGATAAGGGGATCAAGACTGGCATCCAGCTCTGTGCAGAGCATGGAGCCTGCTTAGGATTCTCTCTCTCCCTTTCTCTCTCTGCCTCTCCCATGTGTATGCACTCTCTCTCGCTCTCTCAAAATAAATAAGTAAACATTTAAAAATAAATAAGTAAAAATAAAAAACATACTGAACACCATGAACCCACCACCTAACCCATGAGGAAGGGAATGATGTCCTATGCTGTGTGGCCTTTTAAAACAGTTTCTGGCTTTATCTCTATGCAAGGTATATATTTTCTTTTATAAACCTAGGCTCAAAACTATTTTTATAGGGCTTATCCTAATATTTCACTTAATGAGATGCATCAAAACCTTAAAATACTTAAAATTCCTTAATCAAGCAATTCCATTTTTAGGAATCCTATGGAAATAATTTGAAAGGTACAGAAAAAGTAAATTACAAGGGTTCTCACAACAGCATTATTATGTACCATATACACGTGTATCAACCAATATATACTATATACATCAGTCCAAATGACCAGCAATAAGGGAGGATATTAACAGAATTATGGTAACTCTCCAGGATTATTATACAGTAATTAACAATTATTTTTACAAATATTTGAATTATGCAGAAAATATGTATGAATGTAAAGAAATCAGAATACCAAATTATATGTACAATATGATCTCAACTATATAAAATAAATACATCCAGAATTAAAATGGTAAAATAAAAGATGCCAAAATGTCAACTGTGGTTATTTCTGGGTAGCATAATTATAATTTACTTTCAATTTTTTTCTTGTTTTTTTTCCAAATTTTCTATACTCCTTAAAGTATCTTTCCCTTTTTTAATAAAAAGTACCTGGTGTCAGCATAAATTCAATATGAAGGATCTTCAGATCCTTCATGTTTAAAGGCTGCAGTCAAGAAGAGCTTGGGGCAAATAATCCTGGTCTTTCTGCTAGCCAATTAACCAAGCTCCTCCCCTCCTGAGCTAATTGTAGTCTCCAACCCAGAATACTAAATATAAGGAGCTACAGACCCTTGATTTTAAAGGACCTCCTGCCACACACCTAACAGTTGCTTAGCATCTATGGGATCATTACTACACTACATGTTATAGAACATAAACAGTCATATGGCTCTTCTGGAGAAGAGTGATTGCAATAATGGCTCCAGAGTTTCATAAATAGGAATATCACTGGGTCATATAGAAGTAGAACTCCCCCCAGTCCTCTCTTAAATCACATTTAATTTATTTTGTCTTAAAATACCAATCTAAGTCTTCATATACTCCCCCAATCTGCTGAATTAGCATCTTCAATGGACTTACTTTTTCTCTTTGGTCATTTTATTTATATGTCCATCACTCCTTAGCTTACTTCCCAGGCCCTACCTGGTATTCTGCTAGGTCAGAACTCAACATTGCTCTTTACTTTTTTTTTCCATCTATTCACTTTCTCACTGCTCACACATTGAGGCATTTACATTTATTCATTCATGCTTTCATCATTTATTGTCTGGTCTATTCATTCACTCATTTAGTGTTTGGTTTATATACCCCACCTCATTACCAAAAGGATTTCAGGTAGCTTACAAAGAAAACATGTTTCAGGTGGCCTACAGTGAAAACATGGAACGTAAATTAATGGTAAAATAGATATAAAGAAGGGCCAGGGAAAGATTAGAAGGTATTGAATAGGAAAAGACACAAAAGACACAATGGGCCAACCATTACATTACACAGGTGCTCCATTTTGGCATTCATTTTGGCTCTGAGCTTCCTGGAAGCCAAAGTATAAATAAAAACAAAAGTACAAGGAGGTTTTTTAAAACGATTTGAGGAAATCACACTAAGAATTACATAGCCTGTGAAAGTGTAAACAATCCTAGACTTTACAAATGCCTTTTACATTATAACTAAATAAAGCAATTAGCCTCCAGACCTCAGGGGTGCAATATAGCTCAGGCACTTCAAATTTACAAAAAAAAAAAAATTGATAACTGAGATCCTGTTTTTAGCTATCATCTCCTTACCATTTCATCTGCCAAGATACCATTGACTCCATTTTCATACAAAGAGATCAACCAGTTCAGCCCTCGAATCTGATAATCCCTCAATGGTCCTCCTTTCACATCTAAAAAAGAAATCAAGATGCCTCATACTTTTATTAATATAATCAAGTAAATTTTTTCTAAAATCAAATTGGGAAAAAAAAACACAAACATGATGAGGTACTTACATGAAGGTGACACCTCAAATCTAACACACACATTAGATGTTTTCCGACTCTCTGAGAGTAGCTCTTCATCTTCTTCTTGTTCCGTGCGCCTGTGGCGGTAGCTGAAATGAAAAGAAATACCTTTATGTTCAACGCAAATGTTAAGGTGTCAATGAAGTCAGTATACATCGCTAGTATCTTCATGAAAAGAAAATGAGTTACTTAAGGTCTTGCTTAGAAGTTGGTAGAACCGGCCTACATTTTTACTGATTTCTTGTGAGAAAAACATGTTGCCTCCAAAACTTATTTACACTGACAATAACCTTATTTTTTGAACATAGAATTATACTGAATAAGTGAAGAGGGAATGAGAGTATAAGGAGGGAGAAGGGGGGACAGGAGGAAGAGAGGGAAAGAGGGAAGAAAGTAGAGAGAGATGCCAACATACTCTCCAGCAGAAATTAAGCTCTGCTTGTCATCTTTCTTTATTCGAGGACGTCCCAATTTCATGTTCAGAGGAGATGTTGGAGATTTCTGTGCTGACGGTTGAATGAAATGTGCAAAAAGTTCTGTTTGCTTTAATAAAAATTCAAATCTCTTTGCTCGGTCTGCTTTCTAATGCACAAAAGAAAAAGTAATGATTTTCTTTTTTATTTGCTCAAAGTTATTTAACAAACACTTACATTGCCCTTACTTTGTACTATGTTCTAAGCACTTTAAACATACTAACTCATTTAATTCTCTTAATAAACCTATGAGGTAGACACTAATATTATGTCCATTTTACAGATGATAAAACTAAAGTACTGAGAGGGTAACTAACTTGCTCAAGTTCCCACAGCTAATAAGCACCTAAATTTGAAAAATGGCATTTTCAGATACTCTGAATAGAAGCCAAGTGATCTAACAGAAGTAAATGCCCCAATAAGAAGTATCCTGCTGGGGTACCTGAGTGGATCGGTCTGTTAAGTGGTTGTGCATCCAGCTTCTCAGGTCATGATCTCATGGCTCTGTGAGTTCAAGCCCCGCATTGGGCTCTGTGCTGATAGCTCAGAGCCTGGAGCCTGCTTCGGATTCTGTGTCTCTGTCTCTCTCTGCCCCTCCCCAACGCACAAGCGTGCACACACATGCTGTCTCTCTCTCTCAAAAGTAAGCAAACATTAAAAAAAAAGAAGTACCCTGCTTAAAGAGTCAGGGTCAGAAAGCAAATCCTCTTTCCAAACCATAATAATTTTCTTTTCCTAGTTAACAAAATAAAGCATCATAATATGTAATATATCCTAAATGCAGAAATATAAATTATTGGCTTTGATATACATATACCATAAACTGATCTCTTAAGAATTTATAAGATTTGGGGGAAAATACACATACACATATAAGTAAAATAGTTAACATATATTAACTATTAAAAATTTATATGTGGGGCACCTGGGTGGCTTAGTTGGTTAAGTGTCCGACGTCGGCTCAGGTCATGATCTCCCTGTCTGTGAGTTTGAGCCCCGCATCGGGCTCTGTGCTGAAAGCTCAGAGCCTGGAGCCTGCTTCGGATTCTGGGTCTCCCTCTCTCTCTGCCCCTCCCTGCTCACACTCTGTGTGTGTGTGTATGTGTGTGTGTGTGTGTGTGTGTGTGTGTGTGTGTGTGTCTCAAAAATAAACATTAAAAAAATTTAATTGATATGTGCTATAATTTCTCAATAAATTGTAAAAGGTCATGTAACTTGTACCATATTAATGAAATAAAACTTCACTAAAAAATCTTAGAAGATCAAAAAATGTACACATTATTCTAGATGAAGAAAAAATGAAAATGATTTTTTATTTCCCAGTCACTTTCTGACCACAGGGTAGGGAATATTTGATTGCTAATGAAGGATGCATAATTAATAATACCAGAAACTTACAAGAGTTCATTAACATAAACACAAGAATTAGACAAACATTCAGACCAGAAGCTGGAAGGAGGCCAAAACTTTTCCATTTTATGTTATCCTCACTGGAATGTTGTTTTTAGAGTTGTTAAAACATTAACTGTCTATGTTAGATGTGACCTTAAACATTAAGGCATGGAGTATGGCAAAATCACTATGAACAACCAAAAAAATACTTCATTTCTACTTATTTTTATAATATTACTGCAAAAGCAACCCCTCAACAAAAAAATTCAGTTCCAACTACTTGTTAAATTTCTCTTTTGAATTAACCAAGTTCACTGGTTTTGAAAGATCCCAGGGCATAAAAGATTAGTTAAAATGAAAGCTAAGATATGGATTTTAGTAAATAAAAACTAAATAATTTGAAATACACAGCAAAGCAGTAGGTGGCATAATTAAGATTATACTGTTTAAATACGTAACAGTTTCATGTACTGGGAAAATATCCTCTCCTCCAGAGAAAGTGTTACTGTATTACATGTCTCATAATATGTAACATTCATTCAAATATCCAAAGCAAGAACAGAGGGAGAAAAAAAATATCAGTCCAGCTCTGTGACCTGATTTCTTTCAGCCATACTGATATTCCCACTGATATTGTCACTTAGTGGATACAATATTTCTAGCATAAAGCATCTTATTATGAGATAAAGAGTGCTGAACAACAGTGAAGACATGTGGTTTCTGTTCCCAACTATTTCATATAGTTTTTCTGCTCCTTATTTTCTCATCTGAAAACGAGATTCATTTATTCAACAAAATTATGATGGATTTATTATTAAATTACTTTCCAATTCTAAAATCTATGATCCTGTATTCATTATATATGAACATGTATCATTTTAATCTTTCACATCTCCTCAATAAAAATCAAGTACAGTGAAACTAATGTTAATATTGGGTGCCAACTACAGTTCAATGACAAAAAAATCAACTACATTATTCATGATCAACCCAGGAATATATTTACCATTTTCTCTTCATATTCTGGGTCCATTTCCTTTTCAGATTTAGAAGCTTTAGCAGCAAGTTTGAGTTGAAATGAAGAAACATTTTTCTAGAATTTCAAGAAAAAATAAGCCATCAAATTGCAAAGCAAGATCTTAAAAATGGTCGACATTGTCATTTGAAGAAAGTAAAAAGTAATTAAATACTAAATAAATAAATCAACATGGGCCACACATGATGAGAGCATGTCATGAAGCAGGGCTTATGATTAATCCAGTTCTGTGCACCTGGGGTCCAATAAAAAATCTGTATTATAAAAGCTAGAGAAAGAACATTAATTAAAATAAACACCAAAAGGTGAAACATTGAGCCATTTCATCTATTTTTTAATTTCAAGCATAAGAAAGTACAGAACCACTGAATAGATTTAAAATCTAGAATATGGTAATATTATCATCCACAAACCAAGGAATTCAAGGAAAGTAAATATTAATTCTCAGAAACACATCTTTATGGAATAGAAACGAGCCAAAATTTCAGAAGGAGACTATGGTTTCTGTTCCTGAAAAGACACTTTTTCATTGTTTTCATATTCTAATAAGAACATTTAAACTTTTTAATGTAATACATGTTAATTCTATTTAAATAATAACACAATACAGTTTTAAACTTTTGATTTATGTTAATTTTTCCCAACTGGAAAGAAAACTATTTTAAACCCTGTTACATAAATATTTTGTAGCAGTTTCTCAAGGCTATCAACTATTAACATTTGATATTTAAAAAGTTGTGATTTAGTGAAAACTAACATAAATCAGCTTCTTCAAAATATTGAAATTATCTGGGGGTTATTTCATGCACACTATCCTTTGTAAAGATAAGCTTGTACTTGCAAATATAATTAGGTATATAGAATATACCTCCTTCCCTATAATAAATAGAAAAATAATAAAAACACAAATCTACCGTTTAGTATCAGAGCTGAGAGTATTTCAGTTTTAACACAGATTTTGCCCAAGTCACAAATCAGTTTGTGAAAACTACAGAAATTACGTCCATTTTATCATGGCTTTTGTCAATCAGTTCCTGAAAACTTAGATCATAAATCAAAAACAGAATGTGATGTTAAACATAAAAAAAACATAGCTCCAATAGTTAATGAATATGCCTTCTAACATTTACTGAAATTCCTAGTTTAAGACAATTCAAACTAGGATTATGGAATTTGACCCTGGTCAGTGTTCTACTTTGAAGCACTGATCAGATATTGTTCAGTTATTCTTAACCCAAATAATAGCCATCTTGATTTAAGCATCACATACATATATATCGTCCATGTGAGACGTTTTGAATGTAATCCTGGATGGACAAGAATAGAAAACTGCTAAAATCCCCTCAATCCCACTCTTTCAAACTGTCCCATGTACTATAAATCTGATTTTATTTTCAAAGCAACAAGTAATGGAATACTGGGTAACAAAATTCACACCTTTATCATTCCTTGAAAAGCTGTATGAAGTCTAGTTTTCAAGTTTCAAAACAGTGAAAATTACTTCACATCATATACACAAGTATATATCTAATAGTGTGGGACAAAGACTTTGCTTATAGAAGAATTAAGGCTTTAATTAGAAAAAAAAAACTTTACTCAATACTCTTGCCTACCTTGTGGTAGAATACCATAAAATTTAATTATATGCTAATTAAAATTCCTAATCTTAAGCAGTGCTATTAAAAGCTGTGGGTAATTACTTAATTGGCACTATCTTCCACAACAAATTTTAAAATACCTACCTTCTAAACCTTCTCCTTTGCATATGTTTTCAAAAATACACTTCTTGTACAAGAAAACATAAAAGGATATTTTAATGAATTTCCTATGGATTTCATCATCTGGTAGTTTAGATGCCATGAGAATGTGGACAAGGTCATCAAGATGCCCTTAGAGACCATGACCTTTTTCTTGATGTTTTCATTACCAGAAATACCAACTCCAACTTCCAGTGTTAGGTTATCCACTGTCACTTAAACCAAGTTAAGCTCAAGAACCAGAACGTAAACAAAAATACGTTTCTGTAGCTAAATGTCACAAGTCAATCAACCAAATCTCATCTACTTTATGCATCACAAAAATGCTCTTACTCAGAGCCTATTTTCTTTTACTTGATATACAATTCTAGCAAGTTTGATCATCTGACTTGCCATACTACAGAGAATAAAAGCAACAGCAAATGACACAGGAAAGATCACTTAGAAGAAAGAAAGCACAATGTCAACAGCAAGAAGGGATGGCAGAAGCCCAGGACTAAAAGAGGAGTTCCACTGCAGTAACATCCCTTTTCCTTACTATTCAGGCATAATTATTTCCCTCTCCCTGCTGCATCACTTGTATTTTTATATTTTGTATTTTTACAGTTGTTTTAAATGATTGTATGGTTTTGTTACATCTATGTCATTTTATCATATGTTCTTTCTGATGAAAGTAGATGAAGTTTTTAAAAAATGATAGCTAACACCTGACAATTGAAGGAGGCAAGTGAAAAGTCATTTAGGAAATCAACACAATACTGGGGGCACTGGCTAACTCAGTCCGTAGAGCATGCGACTCTTAATCTCAGGGTTGTAAATTCAAGCCCTGTGTTGGGCATGGAGCCTAGTTAAAAATTTTTTACAAAATCAACACAATAGTGGAAATGCCCGGGAAGTGGTTATTTAATTGAGGGGGAACAGCCTCCTACATCTCAAATACTGTACACTTTCAGAGTACAGTAACTGATGAACATGAAGGAAAGTTTAATCTACATTTTCAGTCCATCACTTAGGCAGTCAAGGTAGTGAGCAATCTATTTAGATGGAGTGGGGGGAGTGCCAAATTACTTTATTTAAAGGAATGAAATGATACACATGAAAGAACTTAAGTAGATATTTGGTACTCTTTAGATTTTTTCAGAAAAAAATTAAAAATGAAAGATGTGGTGACTAAAATAATCAACTTAAGGTATTCAGAAAGTTCCTGCCATGCAACACTTCACTTCCCGATGCTGAGCAGACAAATGAGATAGTATTAGGACAACTTCTGATGAGGCTATAGAATTCATTAATATATATATCAATTCAGTGTTTGTTACATAGGTTTTTTTTATTGATTCCCAATTTTTTCACAACTCAAAAAATTTACACAATCTGGAAATTCAACAATCTTTGCTGCCATACAAAAGAGTTTATCCCTTACATTTGCACAGTCTAGGGAATAAAAGGCACCTAGACTCATTGGTGAATTCCCCAGCATTTGATTTTATATTGATACTTCGTATCTGAACCATCTTTACAATACCATGTTACTGATTCAAGTACCACATAGATGTTAAAATGTGTATGTTTTGTATGGTTTTCACTTACCACTACAATTGTCCTTCTCTTTAGTCAACCTTGTAACAGTAAAATATATCACTTTAAACAAATGCTGGATTTAAAATTACTAATTCACGGCAAAAGGTGTTAATTGCCTTCAAAAGCTTTTCATTTGGTCGCATCGTACCATATAATAATTCAGACAAAGCCACTTGAGATCTCTAAAGCATAATTTTAATTACCTACCGTTGTTTTAATTGCGAGATGTCTACTCGTAAACGGAAAAAAAAAATCTACCCATAAACGATCCATTCTACAATTTAATTATACATCAACAATCCTTATACCCCATCTTATTTTTTATTCTGAACGTGTTTCATAGTTTCATTTGCATGTCTTGGTCCATATGAAATACGCCTTATGGAGATAATACATATTTTCTGGATTTGGCTTTAATAGGTGTCTGAGTGGTCCCTTTATGTATGTTAGCAGGAGCTCATCCTAGCGACGCTGGGTTAAAGAAAAAGAAAAAGAAAAAGAAAAAAAGAAAAAGAAAAAGAAAAGCCCTGCATGTGTCCAGGAGCCAGCAGCGCCCACTAGGAGAGGGAGGCGGAAGCCTGGAAGGCTTGGGGCCGGATTGGGGGACCATTTGGGTGGCCCTGGAGTGAAACACTATACCGTCGGGGGCGGGGCAGGAGAGGGTGAGGGTGCACACGTTGGAAATTTTCGTAAGCCAGCGTCCACGGTTCCTCAGTTTGGGGTCTGGATTGCGGGGGAGCGGGTAGCACGCGGAGAGCTCATTTTCTCGGGGTGACACCCCCGCTTCAGCAGGCGGGGACCAAACGAACAAGGGATGATTTTTTTGCTGCCACCTAAAAGGCCGACATGGCCATTCAAAAAAAATAAAAGTCTCTCCTATCGTCCTCCGCCTCCCAACCACCAGCACCTTGAAATTCAAATTAAAAAATTGTAAGCCCCAGCAGAACCCCTTTCGCGCGGGTGTGGGATTGAAGGGCCCAGATTTCCCAGGCAGAGGCCGACGGGAAGGGGGGGAGAGGGAGCGAGCGAGAGGAGAGGGAGAGGCGGAGGCTTTTTCCTGCACAACCCCATCCCCCACCCTGTTATCCCAGTTCCGGGAATATGGATGGGGCCGGGGGCTGTCGAGGGGCGTCCAAGCCCCCCAAGCCCCGGAATAACGGGCACCCTCCGCCCCGCGCCGCGCCCGCGCCCAGCCCCGCCCCCGCCCTCCAGGCGGCATGGAGGAAAGGGGGAGGGGAGCGAATGCTAGACTGTTCCGCCGCCCCCCACTCCCAGCGCGCCCGCGGCCCCCATCCCCGCTGAGCTCCGCCGGTACCTGTCGGCGCTGAAAGGTCAGGGCTTGGGCCCCTCGGAGGGGCCCGGCTCAGGATTTGTTGACTACACACACACCCCCTTCCTATTTACCTCCTTCTTCTCGCCCTTCTCCGTGGCCACGGTGGCTTCTGTGGCCGCGGCGGCCGCTCCCTCCTCCTTAGAGGTGGATGGCCCCGGCTGCTCGTCCTCTATGACCACGATTGTGGCGGTCGCATCAGCAGCTGCCACGGTGGCTGCCACTGCAGCGGTGTCCGGCTCCATTGCGTTGGAGCGGGAACGAGGAAGGGGACGAGAGCTCCTGGGCGGCGGCAGTGGCTGCACTGGAAAGAGCTAGATGGAGCAGGGGTGGGGAATCACTCCGCTTCCAACCCCTTCGCTCGGCCCCCCCTTCTTTAAATAACCCTCAACCCTGCCCCACTTCCGTCCACCACCTGCCATGGCCTCCCCCCTGTCACCTCCCCTTCCTCCACCCCCCCCCCCAACGATCGCGAGACTCCCCCTCCCCACCAAGAGCCCGGGCCGGCCCCGCACGACCAACTGTTGCCTGAGTGTGGGGCGCGGACTGCGGTGGAGGCGGGAACCCACAAGCCCGCGGCTCCCTAAAAATCTCCCTTCCCACACGCCCCCAACAGTCAGCCTGAGCTCCCCACGCATATGTGTGCAGAAGGAATCCTCTTTCCCTTAAATCTGCTCTTTGTACCTCGGGGCGCTCTCCCCTTCTCGCACAAAGAACTTTTACTCTGCTTGTAACTGCACTGTAAAAGGTCTCACTATTTGCAAAGCAGAGAACCCCTCTGAGGACTGCCCTTTCCCAGGTTCCAAAAGGTGTATTGGTGGTGCTATTCCCACCTTTGGAAATTCTGCAGAAGGAGAAGCATTCCTTGAATCTCTTGATTATAGCTGCAAACATTCTCTTACAAGGCAAAGCGTGACACTTGGGTTTTATGTATATTTGCTCTATTTGCAACTCTGATACTTCTCAGATGGCCAAAGTGCAGGAGCCCTTCTGTTGCCATCACCGCTGAATTTTAAAACTCGTTGCGTGGGGGACAAGGTCAAGGGCCTCAGAGAACCTGGGGCAAATCATGGTAGAAACCCAATATTAGTAATTAGATTAAATTACCGTGAGTTTTTTGGTATGCGTTCTTTTTGTATCCCCATTATTAAGTAGTAATTAAACACCAATAATAGGCATAATCATGGATATAAAAGCATTTTGTAAAGGGTGGGACAGTAGGCAAATGTCGATTATTAAATATTATTGTTTCTATTTCTCCTCACCATTTATTTTGATCAATCATGGGAAGGTTTACATCTTTCTAGATTTTGATCATTACAGACGAAAGATAGCAAAACAGGTGGAAAATAGTATACCAAATAACAATCACAAAATCTACAATTTCCAAAATGAAGCAAATACTTTTCAAAGTGTAAACAAATCATGATTAATTTCCCTCAACACACCTTCCTAAATTACCAATTAAAATCAAATGTGATTTCTATGAATAGCAGGAAAGCACACAATTGCCCCCCAAATATATCCCTTTTTCCTGGGAATAATAGCCTAAATTCCTCTCTGTTTTAAAGTTGTGACTGCTTCATATGCAAAATCCTTGTGACATTTTACCTACTATTGGTCATTTAAACCTTAGTGTAAAGAGGTGTGAGATACTGTCCAGGGACTGGTTTTGCACAGAAGCACACAGGTTTTTAGAGGCAAAGAGCAAGACAGTGGTGATTGAAGGAGTGTGTCACTGAGACTGGTAGTGATAGCTTTGCTCTGATTTTACTTTCATTATTTTTATCATTTGCCCTTGTTTCTCATCCTGAAGTACACATGTGTAGTATCCAATGGGTGTGTGTGTGTGTGTGTGTGTGTGTGTGTGTGTGTGTGTGTGTGTATAGCATATATAACAGTGGTTTGTATTTCTGGAACATCAACCTTAATCAAAAAGTGGGATGGAATTAAACCACTTAACTGATCATTTGAAACACTATTTTTTCTGTAAAATATGCAGATGTATTAAGGAATGAACTGCAGAGTTTGAACTCTCTCCACATAAAAGCTTGAGACTTCCAGTTAGATATCCTACCCCTTCACCACCACCTTTTCAGTCTCCTCAGTCATTAAGACTTGTTTCATAGGGAAGTCCAGGAAGCACTAAAAGACAAGGATGTACGTATCCACTTGACTTGAAAAGGATCCTTCTAGAAAGTGTGATGAAAGATTTCTTTTTCATGAAACTGAAGCTATGGAAGGATATAATTCCCCTTTCCTTGCCTGGGGATTCAAAGAAAAAAGGGTTAGTAAATATTTATTATGTATTGGTGTGTTCCTGCTTACAAAGATACTTTATTCCACTGTATTTCTCATTTCCAATGTATAGTATTTCAGTTACACCTTGGGCTAAATGCACTCTTAGAGGAAATCTGGGAAACTCACATCCGTTTGTAATACCTTTTCTTTTGAAACATGTGTTTCAAGTTCCAAAAAAAAATAAGTTAGAAATTCATTTGGGGGCCAGAACATATTTGTGTGTTGGTAATTTTCCATATGTGTATAATGTGATCCTTCCTTTTCAGGATGACATGGCTGAAAGTGCTACCAAGTAATGAGTTTGGCTGGAAAGGTCAACGCTTGGTCCATAGACCTTGCTTCAGGATTCATGTAAATATTGCCCTTTGGCTTGTGGCAACAGCTGCTATTTACAGAGCATGTGCTATCCTTATTTGCAAATCTGCCTAAAATTCATGATCTGTAGACTTTGCTCAACAAAAGTCATCTCATTTCTGAGCCTACCCAACACCTTGCTCTATCTGTTGCTACTACTACCTTCTATTTTGTCTTTTCATTTGAAATGGTCTTTAATTGCTGTACTCCAGTGAGGTAGGAGAACAAACCAAACTTTTGTAGAGGATCTTGGGGTCATATTTGGGAGCCTCAAAACCAATCCTAGTCTACTAGACAATACACCCATCTTGGCAGATAGCAAGTATCATAGAAATTATCCAATAGTCATTTTTGTATAGCCAAACAGTATCTGCCAGAATGCATGTCCAGTAGTGGTATTAAATACTTTGATAAAGTTCATGAAGTCACGGTCAAAGACTTGGTGTTCATTCTCTTATCTTGTATCTGATATTTATCATTGAAACCACAGTGTGACTTAAAACTACACTGTGATCCCACTAATCAACGTTCTTTAGAAGTTGGTACAAAGGATTCCGGTCACAGTATCTTGCTTACCAACTATAGTAACCTCTCTGTTCTTAGCAGTAAGCTTTCTCACCATTCTCCTTGAAGACATTTATGATATGTCATTTTTGAAAATATGGTTATTTCCTCAGCACTCTGTATATTAAGGAAAAGGTCATCATAGTGGCTAGTATACATCAACCATTTCTTGAGCACTCACTATTGTGCTAGGTTCCTGACATATGATGTTGCTAATCCTCCTGGTAATGCTATGAAATAAATGTTATTACCCCTATTTTACAGATCAGAAAATGGAGACTTAGGGTAATAACTCATCTAAGGTTTCACAGCTAGTGAGTGACAAAAGCCAGATTCAAATCCCAGGCCATCTGGCTCCAAACTTCATCTTTCCACTTTATTAAGTTCTCTGTTCTTCATAGGGCTTCCTCTTTGACAATTGAAATCATATTGAGAAAATTACTGAAAAATACTTTTGCCATCTATCTCCAAAGTGTTCCCTCTGGATTTCTGAGGAGACATTATCACTCGTAAGGCTCTGGTAGTATGCACGGCCAGATAATTTCTTAGGCTGTACATAAAAGTTGCTGTAAGGTGGAGATTAGAGAATAATTTGGGATTCTTGAACAGCATGTACCCAACGTAAATTCTCAGAACAGTAATGGGACTCAGGACACAGTGCAGAGTGGGGGAAAAGCTAACTGAAACAACTTAAATGTGCAAGAGGAAGTGTTTGGCAAAATGTTGTACAAAACATTCATAAAGGGAATACTATGCAATCATTATGAATGGTTATGGAAGTATGTATCTGGTTGATATGGAAATATAACCCTAATAGGTTGTTTTTTCCATTTTTCAAGTTTTTCATTTTGTTCATTTTATCATGTGTATATAAAATATTTGAGTCTCAACAGTCAAAATTATATTAAAATATATGTTCCTAGAATCTCTACTACAACACTGCCTTATCTTTTTTTCTGTTCCCATCAAGTAACCACTTGTATTCTTTTTCAGTTTTCTTTCCCATTTTTACACGAAAAAGCTAACTGGCTATATGATATTCTCCACATATAGTAGAGATCACTCCATATTAGATTGGTAGTCTTTCTCAGACTTTTTATAACTCCACGTTATAGAATCATGTGTCCCCCCTCATTTCCTAGGTCGTTTTTTTGTTATTTTATTTTTTTATTTTTGGAAGAGAGAAGGGGAGAAAGAGCGTAAGTGGGGGAGGAGCAGAAAGAGAGGGAGACACAGAATCCAAAGCAGGCTTCAGGCTCTGAGCTGTTAGCACAGAGCTGGATGCAGGGCTTGAACTTACAGTGAGATCATGACCTGAGCTGAAGTCAGATGCCCAACTGACTGAGCCACCCAGGCGCCCCTCCTAGGTCATTTTCAACAGGGCGAGTCAATATGACAAATTCTACCTAATAGGATAAGAGTAGAATAGATATCTCACTTCTAGGCCAATTTTTTAAGAGATAGTCTGTGGCCTTCTTGCTCCCGGTTCCTTTACAGTCATGATCACAGAGGCCCCTAATATATTGTTGAGTGAAAAAAGGCGAGCAACGAAGTAGAATGATCCCATTTTTTAAAAGAAAGAAGGAAAGAAAGAAAGAATTAATTAAGTAGGTAACTAATTTACATAAATAGATTTCCACAAAGGAAAAGGTCTTGAGGGTTCTACCCCAAATGTTAAAGTAGTTGCAAGAAGGTGGTGGGATTATGAGTGACTTTTTTCTTATTTTGTTTCTCTATTACTTCTAATTTTCCTTGGTGAAGGTGCTTATACTTATATAATGAATAAATAACATTTTAAAGGATTAATTGCAAAATATTGCTCAAAACTAGACAGGTTGAAATAATCTGTAACAGATGGAGTAGGAGCTAGTAGACAGAATGATTCAAAAAAAGGAAAAGAACACTTTCATACTAAAGAGACAACACAGTTATTTAATGTGTAAAGTAAGAGAAGAAATATAAATTACTGGGCCGTTTGCAATAATGTTACCTGGTTAAAGAACTATTTTTGGGGGCGCCTGGGTGG